ATTGAAATTTTTTGAAGATTGTTTTTCTAATTATAATGAAAATTATCTAAGTATTTTATCAGAATTATATTATGAAATTATATATCAAAAATGTGAAAAATATTTCTAATAAAAGCATTTATAAAAATACATATGAAAAATATTTATTCAAGCAAAAGAAAAATTATAAAATTTGTGATAATTCAAAAATGAAGTTGATTAAATTATACAGGAGATTCCAAAGATATGAATCAACTAATTATTTATAAAAATATAACTATACAAATTTATAAATAACAAATAAAAGGTAAAAATTTAATATATAATATATAATGATAATATAAAAAGAATATTTGAACATAATAGATATTAAAAATGCAAATATTTTATTATAAATAAATAAATAATTTAATTTAATAATATTTATTAGTAATGTTGATGATGCTGATATGATATATTAAAATTATATTATGCATTTGAATCATATAATCAGATATTATGATAAAAGAGTGATAAAATTTCCTAAAAATTAAATGATATAATTTCTGATCCTCTTCTAATAATAAGAATAATTAGAATCTAAAAGAAATTAATAATAATATTATTATTATCCATTAAATTGTAATGATTTTCATTTAAATTTAATCATGATTTTTAATCAATTATTTTACATAAAAACTAAGATTATTATTTTAAACTATTAAGAATTAGTTTTGGTTAAATAAAACTAGTTTTAATAGTTTCAGCTATTAACTAAACTAGTTTTGATAAGCCTAAATTACAGAATTTTAGTTTTAAATAATAACACTAATAGAAACATAATTTTTTATAAAATTTATTATAAATCTATTATTTTTAAATAAAATATTATTTTTAATAATTAAACTATTAAATATATATAAAATTTTCAACTTTATATTTATGATTATTTTTATAAATATATAATATTTAAATATATAAATAAATGTTTTAAATATAAATTTTTATAGTTTATAAAGTTTTTTAAAAATAAATGAATTTAAATTATTAATTTTTATAAAAAAAAAAATTTTATTAAAAAATATTTAAAATTTTATCTTAAATTAATGTAAAAAGTTACTAATTAATATAATTTTTTTTTTGATTTAACTTAAAAAATATTATAACTTTTATTATAAAAATATTTATTTGTTTGATAATTAAAATTAATTTTTAATATATTAAAATTAACTTTAATTAGTAAGTAAAATTTCTTTTAAATTTGAAAGGAAACTAACTATTAAAAGAATAATAATAATAATTAAATTTTTTATTTTTGAAAGTTTTTTTATTTTAATTAGTTTTATAATTATAAATTTATAAATTACAATTTTAGATATTAAGCTTATTTTTGAATAAGTTATAAATTTATAAGTAAATTGTAAACTTGCAAATAAATTACAGACTTATTGATGAATTACAAAGGTTTGATTTGCTGATAAGTTATAAACTTGTAAATAAGTTATAATCTTGTATAAACTTGCTGATAAGTTGCAGACTTGATATAACAGACTTACAGATATTGTAAATATTATTTTTTAAAATTAATAGTATTTGCAAATTTGCAATTTAATCTGATAAGTTACAAAGTTATCTTTAAATAAAAAATATCATTTTTTATTCTAAGATAAGTACTATTATTTTATAATAATTTTAATAAGGTTACTAGACAAAATCTAGAGTTTGACAGATGTCTAAATGATAAAGGTAAAACTTGGTTAAATTATATTAAAATCTTATTAAAAAATCAGCAAAATTAGAAAAAAGGTAAAACTATATCAAAGCTTATAAAAATGCTAAAACTATATCAAACACTTAATAAAAATTTAGCAAACTAAAGGTTTAGACATTTAGTCAAATCCAAAATGAATTTAGATAAGCAACCTTACTCATTCTAGTATTATTGTTTTGTAATTAAACCCTTTCTAATATTATAAGCTTATTTTTTATAATATGATTTATAATATATAAGATTTAAACTGTATATTAAATCTATTTATTATAAATTTTACAGTTTACTAAATTTGTAAGTTTTATTACAGTGAACTCTTGATATAACGAATTCTAGGGTCTGGATATCAACTTCGTTATAAGCTTATAACGAATTTTTTAAAGAATTTAATTGGCTAGTTCACTATAGTAAAGGTAATTTTAATATATTTGATTTAAAAATTCGCTATATCAAGGGTTCGCTATATCAAGGTTTGACTGTATATTATTAAATTATATTTTGTATATTATCAATAATTATATAAAATAAAACAAATACTTATATATTATATTTTTTGATAATAGGCTTTTTATTTATCAATTTATCACTTTCTTCTTTATTTCTTATTATCAAAATTTTTGTTTGTTATTACTATTATTGATTTTATTAATCATAATTGTTTGCATATAATTCTATTTCACTATTTTCTTTATTTTTGTAACCAACATTTTATTTATTAAACCTAAAGTAAATTTATCAAAAATATTATCTAGTTTATCTTTAGGAATAGTTTATATATTTTATTTTTAATGCTTCTTATATTCTCAATTATAATCATATAAAGTTATCAAACATTTTAAATTATTATCTTATAAATGAACAAAAAAAATTAAAATCAGGTTAAAATAAACAATAATTTGAATGTGATCCGAAATTTTTAATTTTAACTAAATTTGAATTTTTTGAATTTTACATATGTACTGTACTTATTTATATATTTAAAGACGATGTTGTGTCAAAAATTTTACAATATCATAGGACAAAAAATCTCCCTAATGGTCCGCCGAGATAATATCATTGGAATAATATTATACTTTTCATTAACTTTTATAGTTAATCGTATTAGATCAAATTCAAATCCTTAAAAAATTGTGTATTGTTTCTTTTTAAAATACATGAAACCTAAATCGAATTGATTTAAATAAAAGTTTAGATGTATAAGTACCCAATATGTAAATAACGTCAATTAAACTATTATTACATCATGCTTTAACTACATTCTGAAAGGCTTCTTGCTATAGTTAATTTCTTCCTTATTTAGTTTTCGAGCGAAATAATTCGGGATTGTTTCACCTAGAACTGGAATTTCATGAGTAAACACATTTTTTTTAATTTGTAAAAATTACGTGTTTGATTTTATACAAATGGTTCGCGCAATTGCTTAGAAATTATTTATTTGTACAGCCCTCCAATGGATTTCACATGTTCCGTTAATATCAAGTTGTAAAGCAAGATATAATTGTGCTTGAATTGATTGGTTGAACATTGATTGGTTGAACAAATGAAATGCACGTCATAAGAATCAGTCTCTATATTTGACGCTTCTTTTTTTTCTTGATTGAAAACCTTAGATAGCCACAAATCCACAATTCCAAAAAAAATATTTTGCATCCAATCGAAAATAACGGATGTATATATTTTTTTTTTTTTCTTATTTTACACATGTGAATACAACATTTTTTTTTAAGTCAAAGAAATTTTTAATTTTTTAATTTAATCATTACATAAAAAAAAATGAATTTGTAATTATTCGCACACGTGTTTTATTGTTTCGTTTCCTTTTGATGATGTATGAGGGGATAATTTTTTAGGAGTATTTTACAGCCAGCGTGAGAATGTTAAACGTGTGAAAACTTGGCTTTTATTATTGGTCATTAACTTGCTCAAACCTGATAAATATTTTTTTTTTTATTTTTAATTTCACACCAGATTTTCAAGGTAGTTTGATTAAATTAAGGAAATGGTGACGAAGAACTATGGGGGATACGTGGGTAATTTGCTATAGTATAAATAACAGGTTTTGATTTTCACAAAAAATGAAATATTCCCCTCTCACACAAAAATAAACCTTAAATTAAAAATTAACAATGTCAAAGAAAAAAAATTTTTTTTATTGTTTTTTTTTTTTTATTTAATAACGACATACCTATATATATTATTATTATTATTTATTTATATTAATGATAATATTATCTTACTTTATATTGATAAACAAAAAAGGGATTTGATGTTCACTCTGGGCACCTCACAATGGGTTAATCGGATTCTAGAATTCCGGATTATTTGATTATTTTACTGTGGTTTACTTGTTTGCAATTAAAGGAATTGGGTTGGGGAAATTTTTTCATTTGAAAAATTTGTGCCTCTTGAGAATTACAAAAAGAAAAAACTTTCATTTACAAATAAGTTGGAGTTATAATAAGCGAAGATCAGTTAATCGGACAATTTTTCCCTCAGTCGCACGCATTGAATGCTGATATTCATTTGCCTTTATATATACTCATCACTTAAACTGTATGCTAGATAGTGCAATTACTAAGCTCAAATTGGGTCAAAGAAAAGAAATTCTTTAATTTTATTGTCATTATTAATTTTTACTGTAATGAAAGATTATACATATTTAGAAGAAAAAATTTTTTTTTGTTGAAAATGCAACTCCTAAACTTTATAAAGATGTGAGTCACATATCACTCATATGATAGAATCCCCAAAAAATTCCCCCAAAAGAAAATTTCCCCTTTTTAGAATTTTAACCAATTAATTTTTAAATATAAACATTACACGAATACCCCAGAAAAGAAGTTTTATAACAATTTGATTTGAAATGATTTTATATTATCAACTGATAGTTGATATTCTTTGGTGTCACAAAGTGCACAATCGAATGACTTACTCAACGTGAACATATCAGATCATATATTAATAGGTCAAAGATTTTCACAACAGTTAATGACTTACATAAAAGAATTGAATTAAAAAATGTAATGTGCCGTAATTTGGCATTACATCATATTTGTTTAATAAAATTTGTAGAGTTTATTTTAAAATAATCCCCAACAAAAAAAAAAACGACTTATAATCCTTCCTTTTCCTCTTCTCCCTTTTGTAAGAAATTTTTTTTTTTTTTTTTTTTGAAATTAAAGAATCTGATCCGTCTGTTTTCTTTACCGTTTATTTTTCCATAAAAAAAATTTTTGTTCTTATTCTAATAAAAATTTTTAATAAAAAATAAATGTCTCGTAGTTCGTGGTTTGGTTTCTCTTATGGTGAACAAAGTTTTGCTGAACAAAATAATAATGATAATACTTTATCATCAAAAAAAACCACAGACTCGCAAAATAATGATGATAATTTGTCTTCTTCATCTTCTTTAAAAGAACTGGGATGTTCAGAAAATATAATAAGTGAAACCGCCTCGGATACATCGACAACTACTTTAGTAGAACTTTCCTCGACAACAACAAATAACTGTCAAACTTCTAATGCTATACCGATACCAAAAAATCAAAACAGCCGAGTTAAAAGTTATGATGAACAGAAAAATAGATCTTATTCCTCTCTTAAAAGTTGGTGGTCAACTTCTTCATCTTCATTAAATCAAAAAGAACAGACAACAATGTCAATACCGAATACTATTATACAAAACAATTTAACAGAAGAAAAACATAAAACATTAACAGTTTCAAATACGCTGACAAATCTTAATAATGATAAATCTAGGTCTGTTAGACATGATAAACAACTTTTAAGACAGGATAATGGATCATCTATTAGTATACTTACACCTATAAACGAAATTGGTCCAAATGAAAAGAAACTTTTACAACCTATTGAAGTAGAAATGACGGGATCAAATTCGCAAGAGATTGGACAAAAGAAATCAAGAGCATCATCCAATTCAGATACGGATAACGTAGATAAAAATTCTACATATGTTGGAAAGATTTCAGATGCAAAATTATCATCATCATATTCTTCAATGTCATCAACAACTTCTTCAAGAGGTTGGTGGATGTTTGGTGGCAATTACACTTCTTCACGTGAAGATATCGCTTCCAACAATTTAACTAGTTCTAACTCGACTAAGCCTGAAACTATAATAAGTACTAGATTAACATCTGAACCAACTCAGTTAAATACAGAAAATAAACAGACGCATCATATTTCTATAAATTCTAAAAATTCAAATATAACAAATCACATTTTATCAACAACGTCTGATGATGGAAATTCAACGTCAAATGGAAGCTCAAGAAGAGTCAAGAAAAAGTTATCGTCTGAAATACGACGATGGTCATTATTTGGTACATGGTCGCCTTCAACAACAAACTTGGAGATAACTAGTGAAGGTGAAAGTAGTAAGACCGCTGGTGAGGCTGATAATTCAAAATCAAACATTCATTCATTATCATCGAGACCCTCATCAACAAAGTCTGAGCCCACTACTTCCTCAAATAATGTTAATGTTAACCCTTCAAGAAAAGGCTCAAGTAAAGAAGAGGAACAGTGCGAACATTCATTCAAAGATTCCGAGAATAAGAATAATAAAAATTCACCAAGTAGTCATAAACGGCCAACTAATCCAATTATTCAAACTTTACCTGACAATAGGTCTTCTTGGTTGTATTTTTTCACAAATACTTCGAATACTCAATCTAAAAGCGCAAGAATTGAAAAGGCATCCGATAGAAAAATGATTACAAACGGTTGTTCTTCACACCCTGTGGAGAAGGAACCGGAAATTGAAATTACGGCAAAGGATTCAAAAACTTCTCACAAAATGTCCACAACTGTTGAAGTTGAGAAAAAAGTTTTAGTGGATTCATCAAGCGCTAGTTTACCGCCAAAGCTAAAACCCGTACCTGTCAATGTTTTATTACCCACTTTTGAGGAATTTGCAGAAAATAAGCCTCGCAGACATCCGGATTCAATTATACAGAAAACTTTACATGCTATAAACACTTATTTCTTTCCTCCTGATAGATTACCTGAAAGTACTCTTCCAAAGTGGTTGGACGAAATAACTCGTTCTACCGTCGATGTTAAACGCATTGCAATTATCGGAGTTCATGGATGGTTTCCAGCAAAATCTTTAAGAGCTGTTTTTGGTGAACCCACAGGCACTTCACCAAAATTCTGTGATATGATGGCAAAAGCTGTTCTAGGCTATTTATCACAACATGGAAATATTCTTCCAAGTGATTCAATTACTTGCATTCCACTTGAAGGTGAAGGGACTATATCTACTCGAGAAGAATTGCTTCATCAGAATTTGACAAAAAACAAATCATGGTGCGAAGCTTTATCTTTGGCAGATGTCGTATTTGTCGCAACTCACTCACAAGGTACACCCGTAAGCACTATACTCCTTTCTCGGCTCATCAAAGAAGGATTCGTTCATCCTAAACGACAACGTATTTGTATGTTGGCAATGGCTGGTATTTCGCATGGACCTTTCCCATTTTTAAAGGAAAATTATATAGTAAAATATTTTGTTGGTGCTGGTCGTAGTCATGATGCAGATGCTGCCAGGGAATTATTTGAATTTATGGATTCAGAGAGTCTCGTGTCCAAAAAATATAGGGAAGCATTGAATGTAATAATTCGGAGTGGAGTTAAGCTTGTATACGTTGCTTCTATGGACGATCAAGTAGTACCAGTACGTATTTAATTTATTTCTTGAAATTTAATTTTCGAATTCACCATATTTACTTGCTTTTTATTTGCTCATTTATTAGTTATATTCCGGTATTTTTTCTGGAGTTGATCATCCATCAATTATGCGTTCAATTTACATCGATGGTCCTTTGTATCAACCCAACGATTTCTTGACAAATCTAATTGTGTTCGCAATTCGGTTGCGTAATGCAGGAATCTTAGATCATGGGTTGATGGTTCAATTAAGTGAAGTTGTTGCTGGTTCCATGTATGGAGAAGGTCATTCGGCATTATACAATGAAATTAATGTGTATACGTATGTATAAAATAATTTTTGTTTTTTAAAACAAATTTTTTTATTCAATTATATTACACGTCAGAAAATTAATAATAATTTAATATGAAAATAGTTCGGCAGTTCGTTATTTGTTTGAAACGCCATCACTTAGTTCTTTTAATGTCAAACTTGAACGTTTCCAAGCTCAGCAGAAAAATAACCCATATTATTTACCATGGGCTATGCGTGGGATTTTAGAGGACAGAGGAGTTTTAGAATCAAATAAATTTGCACATGATATACTAAGATTACGAAAACAATATGAAGATTGGGAACCTGTTACAAAGGTAATGAAAGATGTTAAATTCCGATTAGAACCATTGAAAGATGCAATTTTAAGAAGATCCAAGTTATGAAAATTTGATTGGCGGAGTTTAACTTTCATTATCAATCCTGTAAATATATGTGAATGTTTTTTCTATAATATATATTGTCCTATTGTTCAGTAAAAGATTCGAAAGGTGTTTGCATGTTCACTTCATATCCCCTAATCCCTAATCGTAATATGTCATTGATACATATTATGCTGGGTACTGTGATTATATGAATAACAGCATACGGAGTATCGCTACAAGAATAATTCGTATAATGATGGTCTTTCGCGTCAGTCGTTTTTAAAGACTATAGAATTGCAGTTTTATATAAAATATATTATTCTTAAGAGTTTAAAACTGAAAATTGAACAATTTATTTTCTTCTTTTAAAAAAAGACACTTTTCCTTTAGATTTAGTTTAGAAAAAAATTAGTTATTTGAATATTTTTTTTTATTTATTTATTATCTTTACAATTGTGTTTGGTATTTTTTTATTTTTTTTAAAAAAAAAAATTTGTACAGATTATTTTCTATTAGTAATAACTTAATAATAATGCTAATAATGCAGAAATTTGATTTCTGCAAAATTAAATTAAAAATGATTTAAATGATTCCATAATACGTTAAGATTTCTTTAAAATAAATTTTGCACCTCCATTCCTCCTTTGGAAATTTCTTTTTTTCCTTTTTTTGGAGATTAATCGATAGATATATCGGCGAATTTTGACAACTCTGGGAAATTATTAAACAAGTATTAACATTTAAATTATCCACTTAAGATTTAGTCACTAGGGTTTGTGAGAGGTCACGAGTATATCACGAATTATAATTTGTTCGGTATAAAATTATCATGTGATCATGTGATGAAATGCAATGTGTCGATAATTTCTGATCTTTGTATATTTTTTATATAATAAGTAAACTAAAATTTATAAGTAAGAATAATTTGAATTCAAATATTGTCAATTGTTTATAATATAAATAAATTAAACTATTAAACTATTATTGATTTAGAATAATAATATATTTATTTATTTATTATAAAACTAAAATTTGTATTTTAAATTTATATACTTTCAATATAGAATTTTATAATTGTTTATAAAATATTTAATTTAATTTTATAAATATATAATAATCTGATATCAAAAATCTTAATTTAATAATAAAAATTATAATACCGTAAAATCGTGAAAATAAGCACCCCTTGAAAATAAACACCCCTGTGACTTTTGCTATCATGTCTGTAAAAACT